GTGTTTGTTAATACAATTTTTTGCTAACTTGAAATTTTAATTTCCCTCTGAATAGTATGCTATCAAAATTAATTATCTCAATAATCATTGTTTTTATCAAAAAATGTTTTAAATAAAATTTGTTCCAATTTCAATTTTGAATCAATTATCTTAATAAAAAAAATTTACATCTCTATTCATTAACCATCTAAATGTAATTATGTATAAAAATTTAAAAATTATTATTTTGAGGTTATCTCCTTAATTATTGATTAAATCAAAAAAAAATGTTGACACAGTTTGTTTAGAATTGCTTCAGGAACAATTTTTGTTAACATAATTTTTTTCTAACTTGAAATTTTAATTTCCCACTGAACAGTATGCTACAAAAATTAATATTTTTGAGGTTATATCCTTATTGTTGATTTAATCAAAAAATGTTGTTAACAAAATTTGTTTAGAATTACTTCAGGAACAGTGTTTGTTAATACAATTTTTTGCTAACTTGAAATTTTAATTTCCCTCTGAATAGTATGCTATCAAAATTAATTATCTCGACAATTATTGTTTTTATCAAAAAATGTTTTAAATAAAATTTGTTTCAATTTCGATTTTGAATCAATTATCTTAATAAAAAAATTTTACATATCTATTTATTAACCTTCTAAATGTAATTATGTATAAAAATTTAAAAATTATTATTTTGAGGTTATCTCCTTAATTATTGATTAAATCAAAAAAAAATATCGACAAAGTTTGTTTAGAATTGTTTGAGGAACAATTTTTGTTAACACAATTTTTTTCTAACTTGAAATTTTAATTCCCCACTGAACAGTATGCTGTTCTTTTAATCAGAACGAGTGGAGGGGGGAAATCGTATCGTTTTGTGCCCTATAGGTATGATGATGATTAATAATCACTTACACTCTTCCAATTAGCGCGTTTTAAGGGGCCTCCAATATCCCATTTCTTTTTTGGTTTTAATCCATGAGGTAAAACGTTCGTGTTTGCCAATCCAACCAGTGGAAAAGGTGGAGCGGGGGCTCCGAATGGGGGTGGAGGAGGAGGTAGCATTCCGGGTATTGGGGGTGGAGGAGGTCCAGCTCCGGGCATTGGTGGTGGTGGTGGTCCTCCTCCCATCATCGGGGGAGGTGGAGGAGGTGGTGGTCCCCCCATACCAGGCATTGGAGGAGGAGGTGGTGGTGGACCACTGCCTGGAGTTCCCATATTGGGGGGAGGTGGAGGAGGAGGAGGCGCTGGTATTAATTTTCCCATATGATTTACCATATTTGGGTCGAGTTTTCCATCGGAGAGAGCCACGCCGGATGCGCGACCTTCCACTATAGCTAATTTAGCAAGAGCTTCTTCTTTTTCTTGCATTAACGTATCGCGTTCTGAACGGAGTTTTTCATATTTATCTTTCTCTATCATATCAGGACGATCTAAACAATAAAAATTAAGAAAAAATATAAAAAAACTTCTCTTATAGACTTATTGTTGAAGAGGAAAATTTTCAAGAATATACAGGTGTTTCACTTAAAACCCCCAGACGAAGTATTTCTGGAATGAGTTGAGATATTGTAGTTTTATAAGAAGTCGTTGCTAAAGTTCGAAAATGATTTCAGTTCTTAAGTATTGTTATTTGTCAATGTACAAAAATAAAGATGGCGCTGCGTCAAAAGAAACTTTCCCTTCAATACAAATGCTTTAATTTTGAAACATTCAAAAACAGAAACGCAGAAAGAAAAACGAAACTTCAATAGTCTTGCAAATAATGAATAACAACTCGCATAAATCATTGCGATAACTAAGAGAACATGCAAATTTCTGTTATATGTCATCGAATTTAATAAACAAATAAATTTTTGCCATATAAATGCAATTTTGTTCAAAATTACAATCAAGCGACGATATCTGTTCACTTCAGTGAATTTTCCGTTTTGGCATAAAAATACAACTTTCTCAATAACATTCTGTGGTGCAACGAAAATCGTTTCCATAATAATAGAATAGTATGCAAGCAAAACTACCGATATTGGTTTCAAGACAATCTTAGTTGGACCATACAAACAAATAATCAAACAACCCTATAATCACCAAGTCACCGTGACCTGGAGTTTCTGCAGAACAACCTTCCTAAACTGCTTGAATATTTTGCTGGACGTATTAAAAAGACCGACGTGACACAGATAGTGACTCAGTACCTGGACCGCAGCCTTCGAATCTTCGATATCATAAAATTTATGAAAATTTACCTCAAAAGGCAGGTAGTAAAAACATTTAACAAAGCCAAAAAAATCGATAAAAGACTGGGAAGTTTATAAACCACACCGGTCCAATTATAAAAAAACTTTAAGACAGAGGAAGAGATTAGCTTGGCAAAAATTCTTTGAAGATGTTGAGGACACACCGTCGGCTGCAAAGCTAGCAAAAGTGTTCATCAAGGACTCACGGGGGACTATAGGAATCCTAAAAGACTTGGACGGCAATTACACCGCAAATCCTATAGAAAGTATACATTTACTAATGACCTCTCATTTTTCAAGGTATACCTTTACCAACAACCGGATATGGGAAGAAGAACCTGTATGGCATCCAACGGTAGAGGACTAGCTAATCTTGTGGTGACTGAAACCAGAATTGGCTGGGCCATACAGTCCTTCTCACCATTTAAATCTGCCGGTCCTGATGGTATTCTACCTGCGCTACTACAGTGGTGTATGGCGAAATTACTACCACACCTACTAAAAATATACAAAGGTTGCTTAGCATTCCGCTGTGTTCCCTTATCCTGGAGAGAAGTAAAGGTAGTAAAATCATATAGACCAATCAGCCTTTCCTCATTCGTCGACCGTCGCTGGTGTCGAGACAATTCTCGACACCAGCGTCCTGGCAGAGTCCTCTTCACAAGGAAAAGAAGGCTGGATATCCTTAGAGCGCCCTGGCTTTGCAAAGTTCCCTTGCGCTTTGCCAATGAAGTAAAGTATTTGGGGTTAACCCTGGATAAAACGCTGACTTGGAGACCGCACATCGATGGTAAGATAAACAATGCACGCATTGCGTTCGCTCAGTGCAGAAGGACCGTTGGGACCTCCTGTGGATATACACTGCAATGATATGTCCAATGTTAACTTACGGCGCCGTAAATTGGTGGCCAAGAGTTAGAAATAAAATGATTGTTTTGCAACTAGAAAAATTGCAACGTCTGGCTTGTCTTTACGTTACAGGCTCGCACCAACAGCAGCAATGGAGAATGTACTGTGCCTTCCTCCTCTCAATTATCACGTTGAGGAGATGGTGATAGCAACAATGATCCGGCTGCGAGCGGCTAATGACAAATGGATATATAAATGTGGAAAATCGACCAGCCAGCTATGGGAGGAGGCATGTAACAAACAGACGCTCCTGAATGGCAGGGTAGATACGATTCCAACGCGTTCTGATTGCAGACAAGCCCTCCTCTCGCTCGGGCGGTATCGCTGTTGATCCTCGTTGCTTGAGGACTGCCATAACAATCTTTAAACCCGACTCCTAAAACGCCTGCCTCTCCAGCACTATCTGAGGTGCTCGACGAATCCATGCTGGATTCGCCGCCTACAGTAATAGAAGCTGATATCCTCACCTCGACGCCGAAATGACGAAACAACTGATAGGTGATGTAACCGGGGTGGATGACGTTCTGAGGGTGGTACAGTGCAACCTGCATCATAGCAGCGCCACAACCGCCACCCTCTGTCGCCACCTTGATATGATGAATAATGTTATCGCACTGATCCAAGAACCCTGGGTTATTAAATCCAGGGTGTGTGGACTCAGTGGTTTAAGCCGTTCTATTTTCAGCTGTCCCAGTGCAGAGAAGGTTCGGACTGCTATTTACGTTCCTAAACATGTGGTGTGCCATTTGCTGCCCCATCTTTCTGGCAAGGACGTCACTACCATCAGGATACGATCAACTGTAAACCGGAAGGATACAGATATTCTGCTGGCATCCGCTTACCTGCCCATCGAGGACCTGTTTCCATCAGATGGATTGACGCGACTGGTCGAAGCCGCCAAGGTAGGTAAATGGAATCTTGTTGTCGATTGCGATTCAAACGCGCACTCAACGGCTTGGGGTTGTGCGATCGACAATTCTATAGGTAAGGCCCTTTTAGATTTTATTTATAGCAGCAACTTAGATATACTAAATCGAGGCACAGAACCAACCTTTGTAACTGCCAGAGGTCAATCGATTATCGATATAACTCTAGCCTCCATGGGTATCTCAAGTTCAGTCCACAATTGGAGAGTTTCCGACAATGTGTCGATGTCTGACCATAGGTGGATTACTTTTGAGCTTGGCAACACCAAGTTCATAAACAAACTGACCCATAACCCGAGAAGGACGGATGTGGAGAAATTCAGATCCACGCTTTCGAGGTTACTAGAAAAACTGGGTCGTAAACAACCAGCGAACTGCTGCAGAATGGAGGAATACTCCCATTCTTTAAGCGACTCCCTAATCCTTGCCTATAAAAAGGCCTGCCCCTTCCGCAAGGAGGCAGTATCTGGGCGCGCTACCACCTGGTGGTGCCCCGAACTTGCCACACTTAAACGCGAGGCGCGGACAGCCTTTAACAGAGCAAAGGACTCTAGGATCGACTCTGGCTGGCAGATCTACAAGAGAAAACTGTCAGCTTTTAAGAAAACAATTCGTCAAAGGAAGCGAGCAGCATGGAGGGACTTCTGTGAGGAAATTACTTCCTCTAACGAAGTCTCCCGCCTTAAGAAGGTGCTCGCTGCGAGCCCAGAACGACGAATTGGGCTAATGAAGAAGGATGATGGTTCCTATACCGACAACCTTCAAGAAACTTTACAACTTCTAATGTCTGTTCATTTCTCAGGTTCCGACTACACCAACGCTGTCCAACCAGAGACAAGCTACGTACCAACAGCGGATGATTGGGGCTTGGCCAAATTCATCTGTGGGGAGGAAAAAATACGGTGGGCTGTGAACACGTTCTCACCGTTCAAAACTCCAGGACCGGACGGGATTGCACCAGCCCTTCTACAATAGGGACTGGACGACCTGCTACCGCACCTGAAGATAATTTTCCAGGGTTGCCCGTCGCTTCGCTATGTACCGGGAAGTTGGCGTGATGTCACGGTTAACTTCATACCTAAATCGGGTAAGCAAGACTACTTCCTTCCGAAGTCATATAGACCAATTAGTCTCTCCTCCTTTTTACTGAAATCGTTGGAGAGACTTTGCGACCGTTACATTAGAGATACTTGCCTTTGCACCAGGCCACTAAACTCTAATCAACATGCTTACACTCAGGGGAAATCCACACTAACAGCTCTTCACGTGGTGACTAGCTTCGTTGGTGATGCGCTGGACCACAAAGAGTCCGCCCTGGGTGTCTTCATTGACGTGGAAGGCGCTTTTGACAGAACCACCTTCTCCGGAATAAACGAGGCCTTGTTAGAGCATAACGTTCCTCCGACCCTATGTGGTTGGATCGAGAGCACTCTAAGGCATAGAATCGTTAAATTAAGGGCTGGCCACGCCACCCTACAAAGGGCTGTTACCAGAGGCTGTCCGCAAGGGGGGGTTCTTTCTCCACTTCTGTGGAATCTCGCCCTGGATAGCCTGATGAAACGCCTTAAACTAGCTGGCTTTAAAACCGTTGGTTACGCAGATGACCTGGCAATCCTCATTCGAGGGAAGTACGTCAAGGTACTCCTTGAGAGGATGCAGGAAGCACTCAATATAACTGAGAACTGGTGTATTAAACAATCCCTTTCCGTTAACCCCAAGGAGACAGAGATGGTTATTTTTACACACATGCGCAACATAGGCAACCCCAAACTGCCAATGCTCGCTAACACTCCACTTACACTGTTTACAGAGGTTAAGTACTTGGGCTTAATTTTAGATAGCAAGTTAACGTGGAAATCCCACCTAGATAATAGAGTAAAAAAGGCATGCGTCGCTTACGGCCAGTGCCGTAGGGCTGTCGGGAGGACGTGGGGGTTGTCCCCCAAGATAGCTCTATGGATTTACACGGCGGTAATCTGTGTTGGCTGCTGATTATATTGTTGACTCGAACAAACGCGGTAAGTGTTATACTATTTATACAGACAGTAGGCAATCTGTTTTAGCGTTAAGCAGCGTTAAGATAACGTGTGCACTAATAATGGACTGCCATCTAGCACTGGAAGAAGCCACGAAACACAATCGTGTCACTATCCAATGGATCAAGGGGCACTCCGGCTCTACGGGTAACAAACATGCGGATAGGCTGGCAAAGCGTGCTGCCAGCAGAGTTCCCTGTGCACCCGAGCCGATAATTACCCCTTCCTTAGCTACTCATATCAACATGATTAAGCACATTACCCACAAAAAATTCCTAAACGCGTGGGACAAAACCCCAGGCTGCTATCTTGCTAAGGATTTGTTAAAATATCCTTCGAAATCTACAGCTCAGTTTTTCGTAGGGCTTGGAAAAAACGCCCTTCGATTAGCCACAGGTCTCCTCACGGGACACTGTAAGGTAAACAAGCACCTTCACAATATGAAGCTTGCAAATTCTCCTCTCTGTCGAGCCTGTGAACAGGACGACGACACCGCTAGACACATCTTGTGTGATTGCCCCTCTCTAGCAGACCTCAGAATGAGGACCCTCGGAGAGGCATGGCCGACCACAGATGATATCAGGAACTTACCTCTGAGTAATATCCTGGCCTTCGGTAATTCCCTAGGCCTGGTTGATGTGAAAAGAGGTTATGTTGGGAGTATGCACAAGGGGTCCAATGGGGCCTAAGTGCGGTGTGCGGGAACGCATGCACTCCCGTTTCCTTACATACATACAACAATCTTTGTGAGCTAGCAATGAGATTACAATCTGCTGGACAAAGGGTCATTTGGGACATAAGCTTCATGACATGGTGGACAAACTGGCAAGAAAAGCTGCAGGCGGACCTCCGGGATATCCAGAACCATTCATTGCCCCAACAATAAGGTTTTTTAATAGAGCTTCAAAAAGAGAAAACACGTAAGAAGTGTCTAAACTACTCGGACAAGACACCAGGATGTCACCAAGCCAAGGAGGCTCTGATGTACCCTAACCCTAAACGAACATATTTATTTATGAGGCTGTCCAGGAAGAACCTACATTTGGTCATAGGTGTAATCACTGGACACTGGCATCTACAGAAGGACCCTAATGCTGACCAAAAGAGGGAAGTAAGTACAAGGGATCTGCTAAGGTCAAAGTGCTTCTTGAGAAATTAAATTCCCCAATAAAAAACGCAGTTGACCGAAAAAACTCAGACTTCAATTGTATGAAATTTGGACGAAACACTCCTTGTGACGTAATAATCAAAACCCAACAAGGTTTCAGGCTTTATAATTAAATCAGAAAATTCCAAAATACAACAAATCGCAAATTTTGCAATCCTAAAAGACCAAAATATCATCACGGAGTTCTCCGAAACAAAAAACTTCACACCTACTACAAGAAGAATACCTGCTGCGTCATATTCGGCTGTTATTACAGCCGTTGATCTTGAAATTGGAGATGAAGAAATCAGCGATTTACTTAATTCTCAAAAAATTGCTCACAGATTCTGCAAAAAAATCATTTCAAAAGCCACAAATAAGCCCACATTCAAGACTAGGATAATCGCAGGATGCGTTGACTCCTACCAAAAGCTTCTTCATGCGGAACTATTTTACAAAAACAGCTACTTCGCAGAGTACGAAAGCCGTCCTCCGCCACCAATTCCGGTCTCATGCAGTAGATGCTATGAATTTTCCCACACCTCCGACAAATGCACTACTACAGTGCAGTGCACAAAATGTCTGGGCCCACACAGTACTACAAAATGCACCTCGCAATTACCCGAGAAATGCAAATCTTGTGGCCTGAAAGGTCACAGTGCCTGGTCAGTCAAGTGTAAGAACCGTCCCAAAGCTCCTATACAAGACGTCCCTAACGTCAGAATAAAATCAGCTAACAACAAAACGAATCAAATAATGCCCGGAATTACTAAAGGAACACGTATACACAAGCCAATCACTATACATGATACCTATCTATCAAAAATCAATTGTCCGAAATCACGGGATCGTCAAGAACTCATAAATTTCCTCAAGCAAATTCATAGAACATCATCAAGTAGACACGATTGTCTCATTCTCTGGAAACTATATGTATATATCATCATGATTGATCTTGAAGACACTTCTAAACCTTCCCCAATCGAACCAACCCACGGTACCCAATCCTCGATTTTACAAGACCAACAATGTCTAGCATAAAATTATTATATGCAAACATCAATAGTTACCATCCGAAATCACAACTTATTGGAAAGTTGGAAATTACATTATGGCAAATCACATACATTGTTTGATGTTTGTGGAGACAAAATCAAAATCTTATATTAACTTTAAAGATTGGACGACAATTCAAAAACAGGGTAATATTGTTAATAGGGGTGTCAGAGGCCAAATTGAAAAATCAATATTTAACACTTTACCGACCGATAACCTATTAATCAAGACACCTGGCACATACGTTATGGAAAACAATCCGAACTCTACTCCAGACCTGCTTTTCTGCACAAGAAATATGAGACATCTAATCACCCTGGTAGAGGTCGTTCCTGATCTGTGCTCCGACCACCTGGCTATTCTTGTTCACATCAACACAATATCAAAGGTATCTAAGCCTGCTCCAACTAACTAAAAATTACAAACTTTGCAACATGCAGAGAGTCAACTCGGCAATGAAAGACTTCATAAGAGCAGATCCTGTAATTACACCGGAGATGATATCAAAGTTTAAGTCTGCAGACGAAGCGAGCCCATCTAGAATTTGATTTTAACGAGCTCAACAAAAACTAGTACAGCAATATAGAACGGAAAAATATATGGAAGCCTGCGACAAAATCAATTCATGTAAGGGGAAAAATTATTGGCAGGAAGTTCGTAAACTGTCTAGATACTGAAAGTTTTCTGAAACAAAAGAGCTCACTGATCCCACTGATGGAACTGCGTATTCGAACCCTGAAGAGATTGTTAACATCCATGCTGACTACCTGGAAGGAATATTTTCGTTTGCTGAGGATGCCTCATTTTGTTCCCAGAACAAAAGCACCATAGATAACTGGTATCAACTTGCCTTTATAAATCCCTCTGAAACACCTGAGGATGCTATTATGCTGGAAGACGAGTATTTCACTCTTCTAGGCCAAGGAAAGAACACGGCTCCTGGTTATGATAACATCTCGAGGAACGTGTTGAGAAGCTGCTCATGACTCAACATTTCCCACGAGACTGGAGGACCTTTATCATAATCTGTGTCCCAAAGAAGGATTCCTCACTTTCCGACACAGCAAACTACCGCCCTATCTCACTGCTGCCAGTGATAGGAAAGCTTTTCGAGACACATCTCAAGACCAGGCAAATCCACATCCCAGCCACTTACAATATTGGTTTCCAACTTTCAAGCGGCACGCTATCAAAAACGTAAATCCGCGGCTGTGTTTCTGGATGTCCGAAAGGCTTTCGACTCAGTCTGGCATATTCAAACTGGATAAGTATTACCTCCTAAACTTGATAAGGCAATTCCTTTCAGATCGCTCTTATTCTATGAAGTTGAAACCAAAAACCAACACTCCCGCAGTTTCACCATCCAACAAGGCCTCCCGCAGGGATCTCCCATCTCTATACAACGTCTTCTGCCACGATATTTACGACAACAATCCAATCGCCTTTGATGTGAATAAATATGACACTGATTTCACACGACAGAGACGTTGCCTATTCGGTCCGAAAGCTACAGGTGCTTATCGATGAAACAGAAAGCTGGTACTGAAAATGGCGCATTCAAATCAATTCCTCAAAATCGCAATTCTTCATCCCTTTCCTCCCAATCCACTCCCCTTCTCTGCCCACGCCATCAAAGTGAAGATGAAAGTGAAAACTCTCGCCAAGCACTTCATATCCCTGTCATCCAGAGGTCGCGGAATTTCTACAAAATGTGCCTCGCACATTTACAAATCCATATGCAGACCAATTATAGAATTATTAGTAGGATTATAATATAAGCAGAGAAAACTACAGCTTTCAGAAAATGCCTTGTTATGGTGGTACAATAATAGTTAAAGTATTTTTCAAAAAACCCTAATTATTTCCCAAACCATTAATGTTTGGTATAGGACATATGGGTCCTATACATATGGGTACTATGGGATTAACGTGCCATAGTAAAGTGGCCAAACGATCTAGACAGCCGTTCTCGGCACCAAAACACACTCCATCATGTTGCTTAAGCATGTTCTGAATCCTAAATTGATATCCAAAAAATCCAGAGTTTTCTGATCTTTTGAACAAAGGTCTGCTAGAGCAGATTTTTTTAGAAATAACTCGAGAACGGCCGAATCAAATTACAAAAAGTAAAGTTATTCATAAACTTTGAAAATAGATAAATCCAAATATGTAAAAATATATAGGGTGATCCATTTAAAAAAATAAAGTAGGTGGCGACTTGCGGTATAACCGGAAATGGTAGAAATCTGAAAATATTTTAGTCGAAGAGAACGCAATTGATAATACTTAAATCTGAATTCTCAAATTTTTATTTTGGCCAGAACCTCAGAAACGTCTAATGGCCGGTCTCGCTAAGACACCTGTATAATATATGTATAATAAATAAGCAGAAGTTATAATACTTTATAAGCAACCTTTGCGCCATCTTTAGGATAATTAGAGAAATGTTGAGACATCTCAGGAAAACTTTGGAAATGTTTTAGAAGTCTTTGTTTTGGTTAAATAAGTCCTGATGCGTCAGAAATAGTTTTAAAAAAACCTTAGAACTCATTTTTTGGGCAAAACATCTGTTAATACATTTCAAATAAATTTAAAAAATCCAAGACAATTTCTTAGAAATCTTCCTTTTCAATAAAACAAATCGCGATACATCCAAAAGAATAATTTTCTGATATTTTAATGATAATTACTAACCTTTTAATTCCTCAATCAAACTCGGAATGTCAATATCAAGGTGTTTCTTATTAAAATCCGGATCCAACCCCGATTTATGCAAAACAATTTGCGACACGATTTCTTCGATCAATTTAAAATAAGCCGGCCTAAAACGACAAAAACAATCAAAAATTTCCCCCAAATAAACAATTAAAACCCACCTAATATTTACATCGTCCCTTATAAACAATAAATGTTGCAAAATACTCAAAAAGTACATCTCCGACGACGTATCCATCGTCAAATTCTTCAAAGTCTCAAAACAATCCTGCATATCCTCCATATCAATCCTAACATTATCAAAACGCGAACTTAACTCCTCCCCATCTTCATCTTTCTCCGTCTCAAAAATCTCGTATTGCGTTTTAACGAGAGGAGCGGGTTCATTTTTCAATTTTTCCAAGCACTCATACAATCCGCATCGCGTAATTTCATTTCTCAAATGAATCCGATACTCAAAATCATAAACTTGCGATAATAACGCATTAATTAATTGCAAAGTGATACCCCAAAGTTCTTGATTTTTCGTTTTCGTCACACAATCAATAATCGATTGGAACCTATCGGATCTACGCTCCTCCGCCACGGTGGTTATTGCATTTAACATCTTTTGGTAACCCTGAAGATTATTGTTATTGAGCAAACAAAGCGCCGCTAACGTTTGTAAAGCGGAAATTGCAACGGCAGGTCGTCGATAATCGACGCATTTCGCGACGATTGCGTGCCCTTCGTCGTTTACTAAAAAGGCTCTTAACCCTTCGGTGTTGTTGGTGTATTTTAATATGCATCTTAAACATTCTTGTTGGATTTTTTCGGTGATCCCTGACGTTTTAGTTTCGAATTGTCCCGTTGTTGATAAATTCATGATGCGAAAAATCAAATTCATCCCTTCTGATCCAAATTCGTTAACCCACGTTAATGTGTTATTCGTTAAAGCAACTCTAAGCGATTCTAAACACGATAAAATCTTCATTGGGGTTTCCCCTTTTTGTTGTAAGTACTCAATGTATTGTTGGGGTTTATCGAATTTATTTTTATTCTCTTGATTGGCCCCTTTATATTGCATTATTAACATGTTTCTTTTACTACTAAGCGTCATTGTTCTTAAAGGGTTCTTTTTTTCTTCGTTTAGGTTCATGTCGTTGAGCATTTCTTCGAATTTCTTCACCAGCTCGTCCTCTTTCATCTGATTCACGGATTGCTCGTATTGTTTCAAATCGATTTCGTCTTCCATTCCGAGATCTGTCTCGGAATTTGGGCGGGTAAATGCTTGAGATGCGGGGCGAGTCGGTACATTGGTCTTTTTTTGACCCCGGAACCATCCTTCCAACTTTAATAAACAAATTAATCAAAAATTAATTAAATTAAAACAAAAAGAAACGTTTTTAAAGCTAATTTAGGGCAACAAATTTATTAATAACCACAATATATTACGTTAAAGTTAAAATTAGGAGTTATTCATATCGCCTCGAGCAACACGACATTTAAAATATAAATACGCATCAAATAAGTCCTAATTTAAGTAATTTTACTTAATTTTAAAGAGAAAAAACCAATTACATACATAATTATACATGTTTGATAACCACAACTAATTTTGTTTAAACAATTAAGGACGCACAACAATCTAAAACGATCAGATGCAAAATCGCGCACTCACACGACCTCCAAGACTGTTAAATATGCGCTAAAGCAACACGTAATGTTTATTTTTGTAATTCAGAACTGCCGCCTTCGTATTTAATTTGTTTATGTACCAACAGATGGCGCCTAAAACTTACTTTTTTTTTAAATAACTTATAATTTAAAGAATTAATGATTTAAAATTGATAAAATCGACTTACTATGTATTAATTGTAATAAATTCTTAAATCCTCAAAAATTTTAAATAGTCGCAATAAAAGTTAGGTTATTTTTCGTTTCTTCTTCAATTTTGGGAAAAAATCGCTTCTTAGAGTCTTTAATCACTTTAAATAAGTAGTTTGGGAGCTCAAAAACGTATTTCGATGGCGATTTCAATTCAATTAAACTTATTTCTTTTAAAATTTAACGATTTTAGCAAAAATGCAACCGAAACTTTTAACTGTCAAAATTTTGACTTAATCGTGTCGCCGCTAGATGGGGCGAGCAACTGTTTAAACAAGAAAAAAATTTTTAGATTAAATAAAAATCGAAAAAGTTCTAAATCTTTACCTAGACGGAGTTTCATTTCTCTTTTTATTCGTCAAAAAAGTTCGTTTATTAATTCCACGGTTTTTCCTAAGAAATTAATTAAAATTAAATACGTCACATCTAAGCGCCCTCTAACGGTGATTCTAAAAATAACTCATATAGAATGTGATTTTTTCTTTAAATTTGAATTAAAATAACTTATAATTTAAAGAATTAATGATTTAACATTGATAAAATCGACTTACTATGTATTAATTGTAATAAATTCTTAAATCCTCAAAAATTTTAAATAGACGCAATAAAAGTTAGGTTATTTTTCGTTTCTTCTTCAATTTTGGGAAAAAATCGCTTCTTAGAGTCTTTAATCACTTTAAATAAGTAGTTTGGGAGCTCAAAAACGTATTTCGATGGCGATTTTAATCCAATTAAACTTATTTTTTCTAATTAATATTATATTTCTATTTTAACGATTTTAACAAAAAATGCAACCGAAATGTTTTAACTGTCAAAACTTTGACTTAATCGCCGCTAGATGGGGCGAGCAACTATTTAAACTAAATAGTTTCTTTAATTATTTAATTTCTTGAATTTACCAACATTTAAAAGATTTTATTCCATAAATTAACTTTAAACCACAAAACTTACTTTATTATTACTTAATTAAAACAATCTTTATCAATAAATATAACCGCACGATAATGTTATTAGTGATTTTAATTATTTTTTCTCATTTAACTTGGTTGTATTTACAATCAGCTTTTATTAGTGCAAATTTGATGTTTAATAACACAGTTATTAATTAATTTATTACAATAATAATCTAAAATAGAAGTTTTAACCAACTTCATACCAGTTAATTAGTTCAAAAATAAAATTTTAGATGGCGCTTATTCGTATTTAGTTTCTTTTTAATTATTTATTAGAAATAATAATGAAATAAATTAACTTAAAAGATAGTTATTAATTAATCCAAATTAATTAAAAAAGCTTACCACCAAAAATTCACTTTAAAAATCGTTTTTTTTTGTAATTCAAAACCAACCTTCATATTTAATTTGTTTGTGTACCAACAGATGGCGCTCAAATTATTATTATTTTCTTTAATTCCTATTTATTTTATTATTATTAGAAACAATAATAAAATAAATTAACTTAAAAGATTGTTATTAATTAATCCAAATTAATTAAAAAAGCTTCCCACAAATTTAAAAAAGTAAGTTTAAAAAAAAATTGACAGGAAAAAAAAAGTGAGGTTATAATTTTTGCAACTAAATAATAATAAAGATTTAACAACAATTAGACTTACTCCGCCCGTTGTGAGAGTCCTCCGTTTATTTCTTTTCATTTCGGCACAAATAATTCAATCACTTTCTTAACTGAAACTTATTTCATCCTACCACGAAGATTAAATTCCTTATCTAATCCAAACGTTTACCGTTAAATAGGATAATGCGATAAAAAATGATGGGTATAAGACGCTGATTCCTACTACGGTTTATCAGTAACTACTTATCCGTACACAAAATTCATCCCGACGATCTAAATTAATTTAAAAACGGTGTTTTTACTCACAAAGTTTCCAGATTTGGACCTCTCCTGTCTGGACATCGTTCGAACGGCATTTAACGGTAATTGGAAATCTAAATCGTTAGAGAAATTTATAAAAAAAAATAACCTAACCGTTTTACGTCAACATAACCTAAAAAAATTGTTTTAACTCATTTTTGGCTCGATAATCGTAATTATAACACTTACGTTTTATAAACACCGAAAGTTTCTTTCAACTTTTATACGTTTTTTGGTCCGTTTTAACGCAAAACTTGCCACAACTTGCAAAACACTTGTTGTCTGTTGGCACGGAATCGGTCAGTTTATTATTACAAGTATTCGGAATGATCGGAATGAAGTTAGGTGTTGAATAAATAATTGGACGATTGGAAGTCGACGAGGTGTGGTTGCGGTTCGTTTTCGTAAAAACGAATAATCGAAAGAATTAATTTCCGGAAATGCGATAAAACCGGGATTTGTTGTTGTAAATTTTACGAAAATTGAGGAATTTTTAATAAATAAAAATAAATATTAATTTACATTTGAAGTTTCAATTTGACAGCTCCTTTCATATACTGAGTGTTTTATAATTATCATTTCCTTTTAAGATATTGCATTTTTATTTAATGTGGTTTTTTAACGATAATAATTGATAATAAATTTAATATTAATATTATATAACATTTTTATTTTAAGTAGAATTATTTCATTATTAATTGCGCCATCTATGAACTGTAAACCCAACTATTTAGTTCTTGGTTTTTAAGTTGTGTGTTAAGTGTGTTTACAAGAAGTCATTTATGTTTTCAATATTCGAATTACATAGTTTATGTATTTACTTAGATCACAAGACGACTAACAATAAGAAAGAAAAAAAATAACCTCTAAGTTAATGGAGAGGTGCAAGACCACTTTGTAACCTGGCATCCACAACTCCCAATTCTTCATTTTTATCCATCGATGGCTCTTCCCATAGTTTTCATCCCCAATCAGCTTTCCCCAACGAAGAACAAGTCCAAAGGGCCCTTCTAAAGCAGGTAAATAGAACCTAGTTATAAAATCTGTAATAATTACACATGTTGGGTATAAAAAAATCATAACAAAGTTATGGAAAGTTATGGAGAATAAGAAAATACTTATGGCACATTCAATCTTGATTAAATTCCCTTTAATTTAATCCTTATCTCATCGTTATATCTCAATTCGTTTTTGAGATACGATTCTTTTAATTTAATTTTTTAATTTTTTAACAACCAAGTTGAGTTTAATATATCATAACAAGTAAAGTTATGGAGAATAAGAAATTATTTATGGCACATTTAATCTTGATTAAATTCCCTTTAATTTAATCCTTATCTCATCGTTATATCTCAATTCGTTTTTGAGATACGACTCTTTTAATTTCATATTTTAATTTTTTCATAACCAAGTTGAGTTTAAAATATCATAACAAGTAAAGTTATGGAGAATAAGAAATTATTTATGGCACATTTAATCTTAATTTAATCCTTATCTCATCGTTATATCTCAATTCGTTTTTGAGATACGATTCTTTTAATTTCATTTTTTAATTTATTAATAACCAAGTTGAGTTTAAAACATCATAACAAGTAAAATTATGGAGAAAAAGAAATTATTTATGGCACATTAAATCTTGAATTCGTTATATCTCAAATTCTTAAGATACGATTTTGAATTTTTTTATGGGGTTTTTAAATAAAACTAATTTCTCATACTCTTTTAATTGATATTTATTTTTTACTTCATATTTTATCATATACATAACAGTTTCTTCCATTTTTAAGTTTTAATTAAGTCGTTTTTGGTTCATTTTTTTTAAATAATTAAGTTTTAATCTTTTAGTTTATATCTCCATGTTACTTTATTTTACTTTAATTTCGTTTCGTTTCGACTTATTTACAATAGAATATCAATAAGGTGCATTTCTTAACTAGAATTTTCTTCTTTAAATTTTCTTGTTGATTTAAAGACAATAACGGTCGATAATTCATTTATATTTACAATAACGGTGATTTAAACGAGGAACATTTTATAATTTCGTTATTTTTTTCTCTCTTTCTCTTTATTTAAATTCTTTTAATCTTTGACGTGATTGTTCGATTGCAAAAGAAGATTGTTATCATCATTTTTATTCGACTTTCTTGACTTTTAGCTTTTTAAACCGAACTTGTGGCTTGATACGAAGTGCAATGGCTATCCGACGAGCAAACCGACAAAGGAACCGGGCTAAAACCCCCATTAAAATCGTTACAATTCAGATATAACTTCGAAGTCATCACGCGATCGCATTCGGGGCATGCTCGCTTCTTCTTCTTGTTTTTGCCCCTCATTATTTCGTATGCGCACCTCGCGTGGAGGATGTGCGCGCATGGTAAAGCTTCTAAACTGTCTCTTTCGTAGCCGTAAGGCGATCTGCAACCTGCGCAAGACATGTCGAGGTCTTCTTGGAGTCTTGTTACGACGCGATCTTGGTGGAGGCGTTGATCGTCGTCGCCTAAAGCGTGGTAAATCTTCGAAAGTCGCATCCGAATCGTTCGCACCAAAAGCTTAGCCCCCACAGAGCTCGCCACCTCCAACAATCTCGTGTTAAACTCCAAAGGGCGGCAATTGCAAATCTTTTTTTGGAGCCTCAAAGCCTCCAAGCAACGCGCCGCCCCATCCATGGACTCCATTTGGATCACTCGATCCCCCATCGCGGCCGCGGACCCCATCGCAGTCTCATATTGGCGAAACGCTTTCTAAAAAGACAAAATGTTTAATCCAGAAGAATAAAAAGGCAGGATATAAGAATCAAAGAAATGGGTAAACTAATCGACAAAGTAAAAACAAAAAGGCACTTATGAATATCTTCGACGTCAACTTCAACAGCAACTGGACAGCATTTCAAGATTGGAAGAAGATTTCCAGGTAGAAGAAAGCCCGATACTTCGAAGAAAAACTAGAAGACATCATTTCTAACCTACCTTTCTCTGAAACACAACATATCCCTCAGAACAACACTGCTATCCCTCTTCCACACATAAAACTTCCCGTATTTGATGGATCCTATGATCAATGGATCACCTTTTCCACAAAATAATCCATATTTGAAGACGTACCTGAAAGGGGAAGCTAGTCGAATAATCCAATTGCATGAAATTCAAAAAACTTACAGTTCCAGAAAGAACAAAGCTCAAAAATTGTGCAAAAATTGCTTTACTCACAATAAAAGCATAACTCTTCATAGAGATGAGAACAAGCAGATTAACCGAAGCACTATCTACAGAAAATGTAATCCTAGTTTCTACCAAAAAAGAAAGAAAGAACAGGATTGCATCAAGCGGACTAGAAAGTGAAGTTGTTTTTTAGCAACAGCCCTGGTGAAAGTCAAGACAGTTTCCGGCAGTTCCCAAAAACTCCGAATACTCATCGATCCAGTCTCCTTCATTACGGAAGAAGCAGCGAACTTACTCGCTCATCCAAGGCAAAAAATACATGCCAAAATATCTGGGCAGGAAGACGGCTCACCAAAGATATCAAAATGGGAAGTTTTAGAAAAACCTAAACGTTCAACCTCATTTTCCGAGTAACTTTGCCCTCAATACCACTTTCCTTATTCTATCTAAGCTAACGCAATCATTACCAATTCCTTCAAACAAACACTGGAATAACAAAATCCTAGCTGATCCCACCTACAATAATCTTGGTCCCATAAATGCTATCATCGGAGCAAAAGAATATGGAAAAATCATTCAAGGGGATTCATAAAGCTGAACATGGATTATTGGGATAGAAGACGGAGTTTGGATGGATTTTATCAGGAACAATGAAAAAGAAACAAGATACCACAATTATAACCATGATAAATAAGTTGAAGAAGACGCTCAATTAAAGAAGCAAACGTCGAGTAATAGCAAGACTAACACAAATGGAAAGAAGACTGGCAAAAAATGAAACTCCAATACCACGAATTTATGAAAGAGTACTTAAAACTTGGTTATATGGAAAATATACAACCCGAAGATTAACCTGCTAACCAACCCAACAATTATTATACATCATTGTAAAGAAGAGAAAGGTTTGAGCTTTAATTTAGAATAAGTCTCATTCCTTAATTTCAATAAATACGGCTCCCAGGAATTTTTAAATTAGCATCTTTTTTGACATTTTTAGGTTATACGAAAATGTAAGTTTTGTTTCAACATTTTTTTTCTCAATATTTTTCCAATCCAACCCAACAATTATTATACATCATTGTAAAGAGAAAGGTTTGAGCTTTAATTTAGAATAAGTCTCATTCCTTAATTTCAATAAATTCGGCTTCCAGGATTTTTTAAATTAACATCTTTTTTGACACTTTTAGGTTATACGAAAATGTAAGTTTAGTTTCAACATTCTTTTTCTCAATATTTTTCCAATCCAACCCAACAATTATTATACATCATTGTAAAGAGAAAGCTTTGAGCTTTAATTTAGAATAAGTCTCATTCCTTAATTTCAATAAATACGGCTTCCAGGAATTTTTAAATTAGCATCTTTTTTGAGATTTTTAAGTTATACGAAAATGTAAGTTTTGTTTCAACATTTTTTTTCTCAATATTTTTCCAATCCAACCCAACAATTATTATATATCATTGTAAAGAGAAAGATTTGAGCTTTAATTTAGAATAAATCTCATTCCTTAATTTCAATAAATACGGCTCCCAGGAATTTTTAAATTAGCATCTTTTTTGAGATTTTTAGGTTATACGAAAATGTAAGTTTTGCTTCAACATTTTTTTTCTCAATATTTTTCCAATCCAACCCAACAATTATTATACATCATTGTAAAAAGAAAGCTTTGAGCTTTAATTTAGAATAAGTCTCATTCCTTAATTTTTGCTAAAATTGATTCCAAAGACCTCTATTGAGTGTATTTTGATAGCGTTTTAATTCTGTCACAAAGATTCAACATTTTTGACTTCTTGGGACACAAAGGGTTAAAAGAAATGAATCGTTGGTTCACTAAAGTCGATGTCAATCAATTGAACATCTATGTATTGAACTCATATCACATAGCTCTAAACATCATTTCGGATATAACTCAATTTTACACCAAGGTGATGCATCTACACCTTGGCCGAAGAGATCTGTATGACATTTTGCCACCAGCAATTCAAAACTTCCCGCGAATATTCAAATCCTTCAAGCTCCTATCATAAAACTTAAAATGGAACAATATAATTGACTAATGCAACATACTGGATACTAGAATCATTTATATTTTCAACTCAGCCACGAAGAATTTCATAGTGGTAGAAGTTACTAAATACTAATGCACTCCTACATTAATAAAAAGCATCGAAAATAATCCCAGTTGTGTCATCAATGAGATTAATAAACGTCAAGATGAGCCACATCTGGAAAGAATTATACATCAAGAATACCTGGATTTTCATAACACCGAAACCAGAGAAGGTCGCTATAACATGTTCTGGTACACGAGAGGATGTACTATTAAATTCAAGCCTGTCCGGAGTTTGAATACAAAAAATCACCAAAATAAACCAAAAATTTGTACAATGTGTGCAATTATGCAACCAATATCACAGTATTGGTATTGCAATACGCAAATCGCGTATAAGTCACATTAATTGTGATATTGGTTGCATACTTGCACACATAATTAATTAACTCACATTAATATCGTTCTTCTTCCGATAAATATCCCCCATAATTCGAATACTTCGCGCATACGTCGCTTGATCCCCGGACATTAAAGCCAATCTAGTCGCCTCTGAGCAATAATCGTGGGCATCCCCCAATTCGCCTTGTTTCCGCAACGAGGAGGCCATCTGGAGGAGAGCGGCGCGATGATGTCTCGAGTTTAAATCGCCCAATTGCAACGATCTCGATAAATCGTAAGCTTTCGATGCGTACCTTGCGCTGTTATCGGCGTCTTGGAGTCGGCTAAAAAGTTCTGAAAGACCTACATAGACCTAAAAAAGAAATTAACGATATAAAGGAACGTTTGAGATTAATTTGTACCAAATTATAACCTTTCAAAGTAAACGATTCGCTTCATATTAACATTTAAAAATCTCCTATTGAATTTGACGTTTCTTAAAAGTGTGGTTATAAAAAAATTGTTTTCTCCGAAACGGTTAAGATTGAAAGAATGTAACTTTTTGAGGTTATAAAGTAACGTTTGAGATTAATTTGTGCCAAATTATAACCTTTCAAAGTAAACGATTCGATTCATATTAACATTTAAAAATCTCCTATTGAATTTGACGTTTCTTAAAAGTGTGGTTATAAAAAAATTATTTTCCCCGAAACGGTTAAGATTGAAAGAATCAAACTTTTTGAGGTTATAACGAAACGTTTGAGATTAATTTGTACAAAATTATAACCTTTCGAAGTAAACGATTCTCTTCTTATTAACATTTAAAAATCTCCTATTGAATTTGACGTTTCTTAAAAGTGTGGTTATAAAAAAATTATTTTCTCCGAAACGGTTATGATTGAAAGAATGTAACTTTTTGAGGTTATAAAGGAACGTTTGAGATTAATTTGTGCCAAATTATAACCTTTCAAAGTAAACGATTCGCTTCATATTAACATTTAAAAATCTCCTATTGAATTTGACGTTTCTTAAATGTGTGGTTATTAAAAAAATCACTTCCGGTGTATTTCTTGGAGTACAAAGATGATGTTTATCTTAAATTAAAGATTAAAATGCCCTCTTTAAGATGATATATTTTAAGATATATGTTAGATGATACAAATTTTTAGAAAAACAATTTTGAAAAAATTATGAAGAGGTTGGAGAAAATTTTTAATTGATATCGATGTTTTTAAAAAATCACTTCCGGTTTATTTCTTGGAGTACAAAGATGAAGTTTATCTTAAATTAAAGATTAAAATGTCCTCTTTAAGATGATGTATTCAAAGATATATGTTAGATGATAAAATTTCTTAGAAAAAAAATTTTGAAAAAATTATGTGTGTAGAGGTCAGAGAAAATTTTTAATTGGTATCGATGTTTTTAAAAAATCACTTCCGGTTTATTTCTTGGAGTACAAAGATGATGCTTATCTTAAATTAAAGATTAAAATGTCCTCTTTAAGATGATATATTCTAAGATATATGTTAGATGATAAAATTTTTTAGAAAAACAATTTTGAAAAAATTATGAAGAGGTTGGAGAACATCTTTAATTGATATCGATGTTTTTAAAAAATCACTTCCGGTTTATTTCTTGGAGTACAAAGGTGATGTTTATCTTAAATTAAAGATTAAAATGTCCTCTTTAAGATGATATATTCTAAGATACATGTTAGATGATAAAATTTTTTAGAAAAAAATTATGTCTGAAGAGGTTGTAGAAAATTTGTAATTGATATCAATGTTTTAGAAAATTCTTCCATATTTTTAAAATATGACGTAAAGAAATTGTCATTACCAGGGCACGGAACTTTTGTAACAAAACGATATGATTTCCCCCCTCCACTCGTTCTCAGAAAATCTTGATTAAAAGAACGTATGCTGTTCTTGTTCAGTGGGAAATTAAAATGTCAAGTTAGAAAAAAATTGTGTTAACAAAAATTGTTCCTGAAACAATTCT